TATTCATATAGCATGAATATATACATATATACCAATAAACAAAAAGGTTAAAAAATTTATAGTAATATCTCATCTTAATATACATATAACCATTTAACATTTTAACAGCCAAATTACCTTAATTTCCAGCATGTTAAGACACCATTCAATCAATTATCTCAAAGGCATTCCAACCGAGAGCATGCAAGTGGATTTACCTAGCCAACTTTTTAAAACAAGGTACAATCCAAGCACCTCTTAAAATATTGCCTAGTCGAATTACATAAAGTTGAAGTACCCAGCCAACATCACATTTTAGTCAATCAACCGAATGCAAATAAATGCAGCTAGCAAGCAAAATACACTCCATTTTAAACCTCAAATTAAAAAACCAAACATTCATCCAAAAGCATGGAGAGGAAAGCAAGTTCAGCAAGCTTCAAATTTAGCTCAACACTCATCAAAAAGCAAAAATGGCCAACTATATTTAACAAGCAAACATAAATCTGAATTTTTAAGGAAAACTTTCATTTGATCCACTCACAATTCTAGCTCAGCCACAACTCAAATGGACTGTCAAACACTCTTCTCTTCCGTACCCTTCTAATCCTATAGTTGGCTGCCCATTACAGTGCTTGGATTTCGATCTCCACCGTTCAGAATGTAGAGTTGTGTTTCATGAACAGCATATCCAAAAATCAGAACGATCGGACAGCAAACGAGCTCCAGATCATGATTTGATGATGCAATGTTCATTGACCCAAAATCTCTTCCTCTCTCACTCTATTTCTCGTTTTCTTCTTCTTCCTTTTTGGGCGAACTGCCCAGTTTTCTTCTCTTTTAAACAAAACATTTTTCTAAAATTATAATTCTGCCCCCAAATATTCCCTAAATTTCAATCTAACCCTGCCACCTAAGCTTTTCTTAGGCAAAATGTCCAAATTTTTCCCTCTTGATCTGCAAACCCATCAGGATTTATTTCTTCGCTTTTACCCCTTAACACAACTTTAAAAACTGACAGAGATGCCCCTATCTTACCACAATACCAAAAACTCAAATAAATTAAAAAAAAATTAATTAACTAAATAAAATTCATGATCTAACTAAAATCAGGAATGGGGTTTTACAACTTCCCCCCCTTAAAAGAATTTCGGCCCCGAAATTTCACTAACCTTATTGAAAAATGTACGGGTACTTAGTCCGCATGACATCTTTAGGCTCCCATGTTGCCTCTTCCATCGCATGATTCTCCCATACGACTTTTACCCAATGAATGGTTCTAGTACGAAGCACTTGCTCTTTATAATCCACAATTTGAACCGACCTTTCCTCACAAGTTAAGTGCTCATCCACTTGAATTGGTTGTTGTTGGAGAACGTGGGAGGGATCTGCTACATACTTACGGAGCATGGAAACATGGAAAACATTATGGATTCTCTCTAATTCTGGTGGCAATGCCAATTGGTATGCTACTTCACCAATTCTTCCAAGAATCTCATAAGGGCCAATATATCTTGGGCTTAACTTACCCCTCTTGCCAAACCTTAACACCCCTTTCCATGGTGAAACTTTTAGGAAAACCTTATCACCCACTTAGAATTCAAGCTCCCTTCTCCGCTTATCGGCATAACTCTTTTGTCTATCTTGAGCCGCCTTAAGTCTCGCCCTGATAATAATAATCTTCTCATTGGTGTCTTGCACAATCTCGGGGCTAACAATTTCCTCTCTCCAACCTCATCCCAACACACTGGAGTTCTACATTTTCGATCGTATAAAGCTTCATATGGTGGCATCCCAATACTAGAGTGATAACTGTTATTATAGGCGAATTCCACCAAGGGTAAATACACATCCCAATTACCCTTGAATTCCATTATACAAGCCCGCAACATATCCTCTAAAGTCTAAATTGTCCTCTTTGACTGCCCATCAGTCTGAGGGTGGAATGTCGTGTTAAAATTTAGTTTGGTACCTAAAGCCTTCTGTAAACTTGGCCAAAATCTAGATGTGAACCTGGGATCCCTATCCGATACTATAGAAACAGGGGCACCATGAAGTCTCACAATCTCTACGACATAAATGCTCGCCAACCTATTAAGTGAATAGGTGGTCTTAATCGGTAAGAAATGAGCGGACTTTGTCAACCGGTCAACAATCACCCATATATCATCATGCTTATATGTAGTACGAGGGAGGCCTATCACGAAGTCCATGGTAATGTGCTCCCATTTCCATTGTGGAATAGGAAGCGGTTGGGATAATCCTGCTGGCCTATGATGTTCAGCCTTAACTTGTTGACAAACTAAGCATGTAGAAACAAACTTGGCTACTTCCCTTTTCATACTTGGCCACCAGTAATGTTCCTTTAGAGTACGATACAACTTCGTACTACCTGGGTGCATAGCATAGGCTGACGAATGAGCCTCCTCTAATATCTCCCTTTTCAACTCTTCTGCATTGGGCACACAAAGTCTATTCCCCATCATTAACATACCATCGCCCCTAATCCAGAAATCTGTCCACAACCCCTCACTTACTTCTCCCATTAACTTCATTATTTTAGGGTCCATAAACTGAGACTCTCTGATTCGATCCACCAAAATAGGCCTAACTTGAAAATGTGCTAAAAGTACCCCTGACTCATTCATTCCCAACTCAACTCCCATGGTCCTCAACTCCGTAAGCAAGGGATAACGCACCTTCATATGCGCCATGACGCTTGGGGTTTTTCTACTTAGGGCATCCGCCACTACATTGGCCTTACCAGGATGATAATCAATCGTACAGTCATAATCCTTGATAAGCTCAATCCACCTTCTCTGCCTTAGATTCAATTCCTTTTGAGTAAACAAATATTTCAAACTCTGATGGTCCGTAAAAATCTGACAAGTTACCCCATACAGATAATATCTCCAAATTTTTAAAGCAAAGACTACCGCTGCGAGTTCCAAATCGTGGGTTGGGTAATTCATCTCGTGTTTCTTGAGTTGCCTGGAGGCATAGGCTATTACTCTCCCATGTTGCATCAACACACAACCTAAACCTTGACTGGATTCATCACTAAACACCACAAATTCATCATTACCGGAAGGCAAGTCAAGTACTGGGGCTGAAGTTAGCCTTACTTTCAATTCCTGGAAACTCCGCTCACAATTGTCATCCCACTCAAACTTTACCTCCTTCTGAGTCAATCTGGTCAAAGGGGCTGCTATCTTAGAAAATCCTTCCATAAATCTCCAATAGTATCCAGCTAACCCGACGAAACTCCTTACTTCTGTCACATTGACAGGTTTCTCCCAATTCAACACTACTTCTACTTTCTAGGGATCCACATAAATACCATTCGCCGAGATCACATGACCCAAGAATGTAATCTGATTGAGCCAAAACTGACACTTGTTAAACTTCGCATAGAGTCTATTTTCCCTGAGGGTTTGTAGGACCATCCTGAGGTGCTCCTCATGTTCCTCCTCGTTTCTTGAATACACTAAGATGTCATCAATGAACACAACCACAAACCAGTCCAGGTATGGACGAAACACCCTATGCATCAGATCCATAAAAGCTGCAGGAGCATTGGTTAAGCTAAAAGGCATCACTAAGAACTCATAATGTCCATAACGGGTTCTGAATGATGCTTTCGGTATATCAGTCTCCCTAATCTTTAGTTGATGGTAACCAGACCTTAGATCTATTTTGGAGAAGACCCTAGCACCCTTCAATTGATCAAATAAGTCATCGATCCGGGGCAAAGGATACTTGTTACGCACTGTTACCTTATTTAACTGTCGATAATCTATGCATAATCTAAAAGTACCATCTTTCTTTTTAACAAATAAAACTGGTGCTCCTCACGATGACACACTAGGTCTAATGAAACCCTTATCCACCAATTCTTGCAGTTGTACCTTTAACTCTTGCAATTCCCGTGGTGCCATTCTATAAGGGGCCATGGATATGGGGGCTGAACCGGGAACCAATTCTATAGTGAACTCAATTTCTCTATCAGGTGGCAAACGAGGAAGGTCTTTAGGAAATACGTATGGGAATTCCCTCACCACCAAAATATCCTCTAACATCAATTCACTGATTCTAGTGTCTACCACATGAGCTAGATAAGCGGGACATTGTTTCTTGAGTAGTCGTCTGGTAGTCATCGCTGAAATAACACAAGAAGGAAGGATACGACGCTCTCCACAAAAAACAAACTTTGGTTTCCCTCGCTTCTTAAAGGTTACCTCCTTACGGAAACAATCCACGGTGGCATGATGCAAGGCTAGCCAATCCATTCCCAAAATCACATCAAAATTATGCATGTCTAGAGGAATCAAATCTACCTGCAACTCATGCTCACCAATCCTCACCACATTACGTCTATACACATACTCAACCATTAAAGAATCTCCAATAGGGGTGGCTACTGCTAATTTACACTCTAAGGGTTCTAACTTCCTATTTGCATGCACAACAAAATGATACAAAACAAAAGAATGTGTAGAACCTGGATCAATTAAAATATGGGCCATATGATAAAAAATGGCCAACATACCCGTAACCACGTCTGGGGTAGCTTTAACATCCTGCTCGGTGAGAGCAAAGACATGAGCTTGAGTCTGAGGTCGCCCTGTTCCTCTTTGTCTGGCACTATTTCTACCTGCAACACTACCCTGAGCCCTCTGAACTTGAGATCTCTGTTGTCCTTGAAGCTGGCCCCTATTTCCACTGAAATTCTGTTGAACTGAGGCATTATCACCTTGGGCCAACATGAGACAATTTCTCTTGATATGGCCAAACTGCCCACAATGATAACAACCTGAAGCTCCTTTCTGACACTGCCCCGAGTGGAACCTACCACAACTGTTACAGGGTGGTCGTTGACTCTCACTTGCACCACCACTTTGATATCTATTGTCTTGAGACCTCATATTCCAATTACTACTGTCTCCTGAATGTTGACTCTGAGCATATCTTTGAATCTGTCCTAAACTGCTCGAGGTCCCAGAAAAACTACTCTCTCTTTTCTAATTTCTATTACTAGGGCCGCCAACTGTCCACTCACGGTTACTACGTTTCGGTCTTCGTGGCTCTCTCTTATCAAACTCTCCCAAATTACTCTCAGTTCTCATAGCTATCTCTGTCAATTTCCCAAACTCTGAGCATCAGTGTGAGGCCACTATTGTTCTTATCCTACCTCTGAGGCCCTCCTCAAATCTCCTACATTTTGCTCTCTCATTTCCGACTATAAGTTGGGCAAAACGTGATAACTCAATAAACTTAATCAAATATTCCTCCACTGACATATTTCCTTGTGTTAGTCTGAGAAACTCACTCTGCTTAGCGTCCTGATACACCACAGGAAAATAATGATCGAAGAAATCCTGGAGAAAATTGGCCCAAGTAATTGTTGTCGGATCCCCATATCTAAGTTGTACCGATCTCCACCAATGATGAGCCCTGCCTTTAAGTAGAAAGGTAGCAAACCGTAGTTTTTGGTCATCTGTGCACTCCATCATCCCAAATACTTGCTCTAATTGATCCATCCAAGAGTAAGCATCTGTGGGATCTCTCGTCCCCTCAAAGTCTGTTGCCCTTAATTTTCTTGCTCTCTCTATAGTTTTTCCTTCTCCCTGACGCCCAGGCATCCTATCCTGCACTACCCTAGTCATCAGCTGAGCTAGCATATCCATAGTCAGCTCCATGCTATCCCCATCACCTTGGAGCCCTGTATTTTGTTCATTCACTGGTCCTTCCTCGACATTTTGATTTTCGGCATCTGATTCCTCCTGGGGTCCCTAAGGTCCTGACCTGTGGGCACCCGACTCTTCTACTCTCTCTTCCCTAGGCTCACTCACCCTCCTGAGCACTCTAGGAACTAATAATTCTCTCACGGATTTCGTGCGAGGCTGGCCACGTTGACTCATGCTGATATCTACAAAACATAAACAAATTGGTTTCTAAAAAAAACTCATGGATGGAAATAAGCTTCATTAAGGGACTAATTGGCATGCATGAAAATTTCAAAAAGAAATGCCCTTAAAAATAGAAAACCATGCTCTGATACCAAGTTGACACAACCCGTCCCAAATTCCCTTGTCCTGTAGGATCCGGGCGCTCCCATAAGACTCGGATACCCGAGACGTGCCATGTAGAAAAACTGTGAAACATGTTAAATGACCTACTTTTCCTAAATAACATCATAGTATCCCCCTTTCCCCACTCACTGAGTATTTTAGCTCACCCCTTTTTAAATGTTTTCCCCTCCCACCAGGACCTTCTGGAGATCGTGCCGAGTAGTGAGCCTCCGCTCAGGGTTGTGCCACACGTTGACATCTTTTATGTGGGTTTTATATTTATGTCGCATTGTAAATTTGGACTTTCGTTTCAAGAACTCATGTTTTCCATCATGTATTTCCTTTTGTTTCATATTTTGGAATGTGTAGTATAAGTGGAAAACCCGATACCACAAGTTTCCCCAACTCTTTTCTTTTGTAAAACAAAAGATGATGCATGTTTTTTTTTTGAGATGTTGGAAATGGAAATACTATGATGTTATTTAGGAAAAGTATGTCATTTAACAGGTTTCACAGTTTTTGTACATGGCACGTCTCGGTAGGACTGTAAACGAGCCGAGCCGAGTCGATAAAAGCTCGTTTAGAGCTCGGTTCGACTCGACTCGAACTCGGCTTGTTAACCGAGTCGAGTTCGAACACAGTGAAGCTCGGCTCGTGGACTCGCGAGCCTGGTCTGGCTTGATTAAGCACTGTACACTTCACAGGGTGTTTTGGTGATTTTTTAAACTATTAGGTATTAAACTGATATTTTATAGTGAAAAAAGTTTTAAAAATGACAGTTTCCCCCCCAAAGTACAAATTTGAAATAACACGATATTGCAAAACAGAGCGTCAATTTGAGTTCCTACCCTAAATCCCAAATCACAATCAAAGACCCCCAAATCCCAAATCGCGAACCAGACACTTTGAAATCGGTAATCTCCGTCGCCATCTTCGATCTCGGCAACCGGAAAAGGAGGCCCAACACTCTAAAACTTCCAGGTTTGTTTGTTTTATGCTTTAGAAAAGTGAAAATGGTTTACTTTGCTAATGGGATTTGAATTAGAGGCGTAAGTCATCACTGATTGATGTTACCTTTAGGTTAGTATTGTGAAAGAACTTACCGACAAAACCTATTTTTAATAAATACATTTTGTTTCCTCCACAAAGTTTTATGTTTCATGGGTGTGAACATCTCTGTGGACGCTGTATGTTTTAACCTGTTTTAGGGCTTTCATATATTCTTATAGTTTGCATTTTATTATGAATTATATTACCGAGATATTTGGAGATACTCAAATGAGTTTAAATCTTTTGCAATGTTATTTGTTTTCTTGATATTCATTTTTATGGCATGCTAAGGCCAGCTGAGAGGAAATTTTTCTCTTATGTTATTTGCATTAAAACTGATACTGTATGTTATGTCTGGAAGGGAAAAGAATTATGCAACATGATTTTCTTTCTTGACTTGTCTGAATGTATGCACAGGATTGTAAAATGTAGTTATGTGTTTGAGGTGATTGTAAACCTCTTCTATGTATTTATTTGATTAATACACGATAATGGCCATGGTAATCTAATTGATTTAATAAAATTGCCTTTATCGTCCATGTGCTTTTGGTCATTTGATGAATGCTTAATTATTTTAGTATACTATAACAATTGCCCTTTCATCACCTTTTTTTTTTTGTTTTTCTTTCATTGTAGGCAATCTTCAAATTATCTGCTGCTCTGAAACAAATTTTTCCAAAAATCACGAGATTGATTCTTATCTATTTGCTTAGAAGTCAAAGTGGCCTTGGTTTCTTTTTTGCTTTTTGGTCGTCAAAAGCCTCAGAAATTACAATCTTGATGCAGGTAATAAATCCTGACTGAATTGACTCTTGTTCAGTTTCTGTATGGCAACCTTCAGAGTCTTGTTTATTGACTGATCTGATTGCAGGCAGTTTGTTGTTCATGAGATTACTTAGGAGCCAGAACAACTAGTTTTAGAAGGACAATGTTGATGCAAGATATTTGCATTGCTAGTAGTGGACATTGCACTTGTCCTAAATTTTGAGCCATTTTAGTTTGCTTTTTGCAATTGTTTCTATGGTTGAGTCTTGATTATTATTTCATGCTGTTTCCCTTAATTGTTAATTATGAAGAATTTTGAAGTACCTATCCTTTCAAGTTTTAAGTAATTTTGTCAGCATCTCTTGTAAAAATAGGGATTTATATATCTATGTGATGTTGCCAATTTGGATAAATGTACTTAGCTATTGAGGCTGGGGGAATTGAAGAAAAATCTCTCTGGAAGTTGATCATGTGTTTGAACCTTACTAGATCAATTTTAGTCTTCACTGGGTTGCTTTTGTTAATAATATCGTAAGACCAAGCCAAATCTATAACTTACGCAACTGATGTACATACCTCTTAGTTTACTTAGCTAAACCTCACGTCATCCTGATAAGTTATCAGGTTTGTGTGTATATATATATTATATAGATATCTATATATATATATATATATATATAGCACTTGCATAATTGCATTGATTGAAGAAACCCTTTTAGGTATATATTTTTGTAAAATGAATATATATTATGTCAATTATATATTATTTTAACTTTATGATATTGTCTAATGATAGTGGTTAATTCATTTTTCAATTGTAGGTATGGCATCGAGAGACAATTCCTCAAGCACCCCTACATTGGATGACGTCGACGATTGTATTACTGTAAGAGCAGTCGATTGGCGTAACATTTATGGAGCACAGGTGGTACCGAGCAAAGTGTGAGTAGCCCCGAAAATGTTGAGAATGACAATCAACTAGAGAGGAAAAAAAGAGCGAAGACATCAGTTGTGTGGTCAGAATTTACGGAGGTGTTTCTCCCTGGTGGTATAAGGAAGGGAGAGTGCATTAATTGTAAAACAAAGTTGAAAATCACTGCCAGTGGAAGCACAACACAATTCAACAGACATTTGAAAAGGTGTGCGAAGAGAACAGCTCACTTGAGGCAACAACAAATAAATTTCCCCCCTTCCAATTCTCAGGGTGGCTCTAATGTCTTGCCTGCTCTATGGGCTCTAATGTCCTGCCTGCTCTATGGGGCCAATTCAGTATGCTGAAGATGAGGGAGTTTATTGCACATTGGGTGCTGATGCATGAGCATCCATTTTCTATTGTAGAGGAAGAGGGGTTGAACAACATGATGAAGTACGGGATTTTTGAATGGACTCCGATATCCCGTAATACTTGTAAGAATGATTGTATGAAAGTGTTTGAAAGTGAGAGACAGAAGTTGCTGACCCTATTGAAGGGTGTTAGGAAGATAAGTCTGACCACAGATCTATGACATTCAGGCAACCAGAGGATGGAATACATGGTTTTGACTAGGCATTGGATTGATGATCATTGGAAGTTTAATAGATGGGTGTTGAACTTTATTCATTTCCCTCCTCCCTGTTCTGGTGTTGCCATTGCTGATGCAATTTTCAAGTGTTTGATGGATTGGGGAATTGAAGCTAAAGTCCACACGATATCGGTGGCTAATGCTTCAAGCAATGATGTTGCAATAAAAGTGTTGAAAGATAATTTCCAAGCTATGGGGAAGCTCATATGTGGGGGCAAGATGTTTCATGTAAGGTGTTGTGCACATATCTTGAACCTAGTTGTTCAAGATGGTCTTTATCATATTAGACACATTATTGAGGACATCCATGATATCGTGTCGTATATCAATTCATCGGAGAGTAGACTAAAGGTGTTTGCAGAGATTGTTCAACAGTGTCGATTGCCATTTCGCAAGCTTATTCTTGATTGCAAAACGCGATGGAATTCAACATATGATATGTTGACAACGACAATGCAGTTTAGGCGTGTTTTCCCTTGTTTGAAAGAGAGGGATTTGAGTTATGATTATTGTCCCAAAGAGGAGGATTGGGACAAAGTTGAGAAAATTTGTCATATTTTGAAGGTGTTTAGTGCTACGTCGAATCTGATATCGGGGAGTGATTATCCGACATCAAACTTGTTTCTAAAACAAGTTTGTATAATAAAATTATGTTGGATAGTAAGAGTCGGGATGGAGATCAGTTTATACAGACCATGATTTGGAAAATGAAAGAAAAGTTTGACAAATATTGGGGAGAATGTAATATATTGATGGGTGTGGCTGCTATTTTGGACCCCAGACTGAAGATGAGGGTAATTGAATGGGCGTTCCCTAAGATGTATCCTCAGGCTGAATCGCGGGCAAATATGGATGTTGTTCTAGATGCCTTGTATGAGGTATATAGGGAGTATGTTGATGCCAGTAAAGCATCGACTCCCCCCCTTAAAAGAATTTGGCCCCGAAATTTCAATAAACTTATTGAAAATGTAGGGTACTTAGTCCGCTGACATCTTTAGGCTCCCATGTTGCCTCTTCCATCGCATGATTCTCCATACGACTTTACCCAATGAATGGTCTAGTACGAAGCACTTGCTCTTTAAATCCACAATTTGAACCGACCTTTCCTCACAAGGTAAGTGCTCATCACATTGAATTGGTTGTTGTTGGAGAACGTGGGAGGGATCTGCTACAATACTTACGGAGCATGGAAACATGGAAAACATATGGATTCTCTCTAATTCTGGTGGCAATGCCAATTGTTGCTACTTC